TGAAGCTAGTTTGAAGTTGTCAGGGGCTGCTGGGAAATATTCCATCTGCTTATTCAGGGGGAAGGAAGAGGAGAAGAACCAAGCAGAGGGAGGGATGAATTAAACATGGGAATTGATCCAGAATCCTTTGCTTTCCTCCCCAAGGGTGGTACCCAGGGAAAGATGCACTTGGATCCCCTGCCCTAGAAGTGGCTGCTCGGTGCTGATGTTGCATCTGCCCTGAAGGTCTCTTCCTGCTGCAACTTCCTGAGTCATGACCAACAGTTACCTTGTGTGGAGCCCGGACACAGGACAAGCTTGAAAGAAGGGGAACTGCTCCAAAGGGCATTGGCCCTGGGGCTTCCTTCCCATAGGCTGGCTGAAGTGACTCAAAACTAAGTACAGTCTGGGGGTCCCTCCCCAGCCCCTCCACTTCCTGATTTCTTCCCAGTGGTCAGGCTTGTGTAGAGGCCTATGACTACTCTGCCAGATTCCTGCTTGCTTTTCCTATTTTATAGGTAGCACATTAAACCTGTCTGGGCCTTTGCTTCCTGGCAGATGTGAGCCTATCCAGATAGGATTAGAGTTATCCTGAGAACAGGCAGGATGACAGAGGCTGAGAGTGGATGATTATGAGTTCAAGGTCAGCTTGGACTACCTAGTAGACAGTCTTTAAAAAAAAAAGAGTTGGGGCTGGAGAGCTGGCTCAGCAGTTGAGAGCACTGGCTGCTCTTCCAGAGAACCCAGGTTCAATTCCCAGCACCCATATGGCAGCTCACAACTGTCCAGTTCCAGCGGATCTGACACCTTCACATCAATGCACATACAATTAATTTAAATAAATTATTTTTAAAACAGGAGTCAGGACCAGCTCATCTACTACCTGGTAAGCAGTGGACACAGTGGTATATGGGCATGGATAGGATCTGTGGGACAAACAATTGTTCCAATGTCTCCAAGAAATATACTGGGGACAATCTGGGAAGAGGGCTTTGTATCACTGGACACTTCTGGGAGGTGCATGTGCACAGGCCTATGAAGCTATTTGGGGGTTGAAAGGCAAGAGCAATTCTGCTCAGGACCAACAACAAATGGAGGGTCATGACCAGCAGCTGAAGGCCTAGTGTGAGAGCCAGAGGCCTCTTTGGTCCCTAGATCAGATAGTAGGGCCATTTATAGGAGAATGGACGATGTGTGGATGCCTCTCTCCTCAGACATGCCAGGGTTAAATGCCAGTACAGTGCATTGAGGATGGGTGGGGTCTCCTAGGGACAAGAGATTTTATACCAAAACAGAAGCTTCAAGATTTGAGGAGGTGCATAAAGGGGCCAGGAAACAAGACTGGATGAGTAAGAATTGATTTGAGGGAGTTTTCTTGAAATGCAGAATCTGCCATCCTGGAAAAGATGCCAGGGATGAGACAGCTTATTCCAGATAGCCCTGAAAAGCCTGATAAAAATGATAGTAAGGGCCTTAAATTTATTTGGTAGATGGAAAGAATTGAAAAGAGCATAAAGTGGCCAAGTTGGAATGAATGTATTATTTAGGTTCAGGATACCCTAAGGAGGGGCCCATAGTATACCCTGTCTATCCCCACTATTATCTAAATAACATAAGATTCCCGTAAAGATCCCTGAAACCTAAGATGTTAGTGGTGGCTCTCTTCTGCAGACCAGAGTGGACAGCAGAAAGAAGTACCATAGAGCTGGGACAACATGGACCCTGAGGGGCCAGGGCTCTGAGTATCTTCATTTCCTAACTGTTGCTATTCCATATTTGAACTTAGGCATTCTAGATAATAAAAACAAAAAATGAACACAAACAAGGTAGAGCCCTGGGAAGGGTGGGAGTCACGAGTCACAGTCAGGCTCATGGGTTCCTCCATACCTCACCTCACAGTTCGCACTCTGGGAAGAGTCTGCTTTCATCAGAGAGCCTCACATACAACTGAGACCATAGCACTACATCTGTCAGCCTCCTTTCTGATCACTACCTGCTAGCTACAGCTCTGGATCCAGATCCAGATGCTGGCTTTGGGAAAACAAGCAAGCCATAGGCTGACAATTCTGCTGGGATGTGGAAAGGATGCTATGGATATCCTGCATTTAAGGATGGAGACACATAGTCAGCATGACTGCCCTGCACAGAGCACCCAATTATTCATTGAAGAGACAAAGACACTTGAGACTCAGGGAATTGAGAATGGACCCCAAGATGGACTAAAGACAAACAAGTGAGTGTCAGAAAGAGGTATTGAGGCATCTGATCGCTACACTTTCTAGGTCATTTCCTATATGATTTCCTCCAGATACTTCCTCTGGTAAGCTTTGCAGGGCACCAAGACTGACTTACACATATAACTCCTAAATGATATTCTGCTGTGGGCACAGGTCAGACCAGGATGTAGAGCTTGGCTAATTTCTCTACCTAATTCAAAATCAACCTAAGTTGTCATCATTGGACATGGTACCTCTAAGACATGAACTTGAAGGAAAGAGGGCTAGTACCCCTCTCCTACTAAATAAGAACTCTGAAACTGCCTTTCCAAAGAGCAGAGGGTTAGGCCAAAATTGGGTTTCACCAAACTTCCTGCTGCTACAGCCTGCATGCTGGGGCTCTCATCTACTGACAATCAGCAGGCAGCAAGGCATGGAGAGCAGTGTGAAGCAATGGGGGTGGGGAGCAGGATGGTATGCCACACTGTTTAGGACTCATGTGTCTTACTCCCAAAGAAAGCTTGCCCAGCAACCCAGGAATCTGCTCAGTTCTTCCATCTTGTCCATGGCTCCAGAGAATCCCAGATTGACTTGGCTGCTCACCTGAGCATGGTAAGAAACCAAGATGGTATTTCGAACACAACGGCTTTTAGAAGCCCTGGAAATGCCTTCTAGACCTAGTACCATCCCAGAGGGGAAATGGAGGCATTGAGGACGCCTGGATGACATTTCCTATGATTCATGTGGTGGGAATTGGGGTTCTGTAAGAGTGACTACAGCATCTGCCTAAAGATAAAGACAGCAATGGCACCTGGAAGGCAATCTGAGTGCAGATGTAGTCACAAGGGTTCCTGCTAACCTTTCTCCTGCTCAGATCTGAGCAGTGAGTTTTTGAGGAAGACATGGTCTTTACTTCTGGAGGTAATGGACGGCTCTGCTGGCAGGTGCCTACTCCTTCCATTGGGTAAGAGGACACAGTCTGGATGGTTACACAATGACACCAGAACACACTGCTCTTAAGTCCAGACTGGGCCTGCTCATTTCGAGTATGGTTTCCCAGAGTGGTAACAGCTATGTTCCACACAGCCTTTCCCAGTGTGGCTATGTTTAAAGCTGACTGTGTATGTGAGTTACACAGAGTGAGCTGGCAGAGTTTCGTAGGGACAGCTTCTGCAGTGCATGGTGATAAGAGCACACTCTTCAGGCTGTTATGAGGGTAAGGAGGAATGACACATGCCAGTCCCTAGGAGTCTAAGGTAGAGCAGGTGCCCAGTGTGAGCTGCCATCATCATTGTCGTCGTCATCATCACCATCATCATCACCATCATCATCGTCATCACCATCATCACTATCATCATCATCATCATCACCATCACCATCACCATCATCACCACCTCATCATCATCAAGGCATATTCCCTCTGCCTCACTCACCACCACCGTCCCTGTCTTGCTAATAACCCACATTCAGAGAGTCAGGGTCTTTGAGAAAGACCCCAAGAAAAGGCACTTTAAAATTATGCCAGGGGCCACCTTCTAAAAGGGCTGGCTACCACTTCCCATCTGCGTACAGTCCCAGACACTCCCAACTATGAAGCCACATGATCAACACAGAAGCAGTGACTATAGAAGCCCAGCAAAGGCCAAAGTCACACCCGAGTCAGATGAGCAGGCAGGGGTTAGCATGCAGGGGGGCGGTGGAGAGGTCAGGGCAGGGGTTAGCATGCGGAGGGGAGGGAGAGGGCAGGGCAGGGGAGGGCGGGGCGGGGCAGGGGAACCTGAAAAGGACACACTCCTTACTCATTGCTGTTTCTCTCACACACATTTATTTTCATGCATGTGTATGATGTGTATATGTGTATATGACGTGTGCTCTGTGTGTAAATGTTCATGAGTATGTGCCACGGAGCAAATGTGGGTGAGAGGACAATTTCCATGTTGGTTCTCACCTTCCACCTTGCTGACACAAGGCTCTCTGTACCTCAGGCTAGCTGGCCAGTGCGCTTTGAGGCTTCTCTTCCCTCTTCCTCCAATCCCACTATAGGGATCCTGAAGTCACAGGTTTGTGCTATTGAACTTGACCTTATGTGGGTTCTGGGGTTCAAACTCAGGTCCTCACACTTTCACAGTAGGTAGTCACTGCCCCAGCCCCATACACGTTCCTTTCTATTTATATTTAAAAGCAAAAGAGACTTTGTGGGGAAAATATTTTCTGTGTGTGTGCCAGACATTTTCTCACACAGTAGCACAAAGTTTGAATGCCCTCTGTAGGGGGAGCCCGGGCCCAAAGCCTGCCACAGCTCCTCAGCACGCTTAGGTGATGCTTCCCATTGAGTGGGTGGCTTACTTGTTGCTGTCTCGGTACTCATAGATATGACATCCTTGAGGCATTCCAGTCTCATGGTCCAGAGTAAAAGCAAGCTTCAACTAAACAAAGAGAGAAGAAAAACAAGTAAGTTTGGCTCACTGGAATGGAGGACTCACAATCCATCTCTTTCAGTGAGTGTGCTTCAGTCTCTTGTCCACCCCTCACAGGCACTCCGCCATCAACACACACTATCAGCACGGTCAGCTCATGCACTGAGCATGTAACAGGTACTCACGAAGCACCTTTTGTGCCTCCCACTGAGCTAGCAGAGGACACAGGGGCAGCACAGTAATGAAGAGTCACCTTTGTGGGGCCCACAGTCTATTATAGGAGTGGACAACAATCAGACCTCTATACTAAGGAATGTCCAGGCATATGGAGAAGTTTGAATTGAGAAGAATTCTTAAAACCTTTATAGGGGGCGGGCAAAATACAACGTATCATGTTTCTAGGGAAGCAAATGAGCTGATCTAGACAGACTAAGGCTGTGGAAGGAGGGTGACTAGACCACAGGTAAGGGGAGCAAAGACTTGTCCTGGGCAGATGACACAACACGTACACAGGTCCTGGGGCAGGGGCTGCGGAAACTGAAGGACAGAGCTGGGTCCAATAGACACAAGGACCACAGTGGTGCTGACACTGTTGGGAGAAGGGCGAGGCCAGGTGAACATGAAGGACACTCTGGGTTATATTGGAATCTTTGACCTTTTCCCTAACAGCAAAGAAAGGCTCCTGATCTGCTCAAAGAAAGGGACAGATGATGTCACCACTGTTGGGGGGAACTCTGTGCTGTCTGCAGGAAGAGCAGAGAAATGGGAGCCCGCACAGGGCTGGTACTGAGGCTGAGGGAACAGGAGTGGGGACTGGAGGCTGGGCAGGCAAGACGGAGAGAAATGGACTCTGTGAGATGTAAATGGCAGGAAGTTTTAGAAACAGAACCAACCAGGTGTGCTGATGGATATGGTGACAGAAAGGGAATCCAAGTTCAAGGTTTTGATTTGAACAACCCGGTAGGTAATTTGACACCACCAGGAGGGCGTTTGGTTAGGGACATGTTGTCTTGGAGAACCCATTCCTGGAGACGAAGAGAGGAACAGGGCAACCCTGGTTTCTTTCAGGACTCTGGCAAGGAGACCTCAGGTGAGAACGAACTCCACAGAGCTCAGGCAGCTTTACTATCTGTCTTGTTGGAGCTCAGGGCTCAGGCAGCCTTAGCATTTCCAAATGTGGGGCCAATTACTATCTTTACAAACTCCCCAGGCTTTTAAATCACCAGGGGAAATGTAACTACATTAACTAAGTGTTAGGGGATACATTGTTATGATTTCTCCTGTAGGTTGTTAGCACAGCTAATGATTTGCACCATTAGACACTGGACAATGTCTCTCTCCCTCAGAGCAAAACATGCTCTTGGGAATGGTCTGTCCTCTTACTGACCCAGATGAACATTCAAACCAGAAACAAATTCTTCTTCACAACCACACAGCCAGGAACTTCACTGGAGTCAAAGGCGTACTTTTCCTACAGAGTATACCTTGGCTCTTACCAGGCCATTTAGTATGGAAACCCCTGAGAGAGAGAGAGAGAGAGAGAGAGAGAGAGAGAGAGAGAGACAGAGACAGAGACAGAGACAGAGACAGAGACACAGAGAGAGAGAGACAGAGAGAGAGAGACAGAGAGAGAGAGACAGAGAGAGAGATAGAGACAGAGAGACAGAGAGAGAGACACAGAGAGAGAGACACAGAGAGAGAGAGACAGAGAGAGAGAGAACACACTCCTATGGTACAGTTCTACCGCCTCTGGATACATGCCTAGAGGAGTCAAGGCCAGCCCAACACAGACACCTGTGCAGTCTCCTCACAGCATGTCCACAGAACCAGCCCAGACACCCACCCAGACATGAGTGGATAAAGAAAATGTGCACATACACATAGTGGAGCGTTATTCAGCAATAAAAGAGTGAGGGCCGGGGAGATTGCCCAGTGGTTGAAGCACTCTACTTCAGTGTGAGGACCCTAGGACCCACATAAATGCCTATAATTCTAATCCTGGGAAGCAGAGATGAGGATCTCCAGAGCAAGCTGGCTTGAAAGACAAGCCGTATCAGTGAGTGCTGAGTTTGATTGATTAAAAAAGCTTGCCTCAAAGAACTAAGTGGAAAAGCAGTGAGTATAATTCTCAAGCCTCCACATGTGTGCGTACCCCCAAACCCACAGTGTATATGCAGACATGGAAAATGGAAAAAGAACAACAACAAAAAGAGTGAAAATGTGTCCTTTGAAGGGAACTGGGTATTAAATGAAGTAAAGCAGACCCAGAGAGCAAACAGATCTTGTCTCACACCTAGAGTCTACTCTGAAAAGAACGTGATCGCAGAAGTGCTTCTTTGCGGAAGGGCAGTGGGGACAGACAGTGACGGGGATGACTAAGACCAAAGTGCATTCTGTATGTGTATAAAAGGTCAAAACCTATTCTCTTGTATAACTAATGCATTCCAAAAAACAAGGAAAATGTTAAAAATAGATAGGGATGGTTGTACATGCCTTAAATCTAGCACTTGGGATGCTGAGGTAAAAGGACCAAAGTTCAAGGCTATCGTGGGCTACCTACTGAGATTCTGTGTCAAAAAGAAACTCCCCAAAGAAAGCAAAACAACCCACTGCACAGCAACATATTAATCAACAATATACCAATCACAGTATAGTACAACAATAATGTATTTATCACAACTACAACTTTGCCCTTTGCCCTCACTTACCTCTTTCTAACTGAGGCAGAGTATTAGTTTTGTCCATTAAAAAGCAAAAACGAAAAAAACAAAAACCAACCTACACCCTTAGAAACGTTTCTATCTTTTGCCTCAATATTGTAAGCAATGAATTTGTGCCTTAGAAATGTGATCAGAAATGTAGGGGAAAGGTTTCATTGAGAAACTGCTTGCCTCAGTATTACTACTGCATTGATTCTAGCAGACCGGCAAAGGTGGTGGGGCTGGGGGACGATGACAGGCCCCACCGCAGGCCCTGCGGGAGAGCAGATGGCCATGAATCTGCTCACGAAGAATCCTCACCAGCCTGGGAGACGGGGGATGGGCGGAGGAAGCAGGCTACATGTGTGAGAGCTGCATCAACAAAGCCTTGGGAGAGAGACCTGAATCAGCAGCCGGAGGTCCCTGGGATTCTCCACTGCATCCGCACTTCCCAGTTCTTCATGACAGCTTAGCACTACTTCGATTTTGAGTAAAGACTAGCATGCTCCTGATCTTGTTTTATGACCTTCCTGCTTCCCAGGGTTTTGGGCTCCTGGGTTCAGTAGAGCTAGTCTTTGCTGAATGTCTCTGCCTATCCTACTGGTCATTATACTGAGAACTGTATTAATCAGCTTCTACAACCCCGAGTGCATTTCCCCTCCGTTATCATGAACGGGGACGGGGTCAGGGAGGACTGAAATATCAGGCTGCTTTAGGGAGGCAAGGGGGCTAAGATGATCAGGCAAGCTGCCTGCAAGAGTGTGAGGAAGTCACCTGGTCAGGAAGGGAAACCACAGCAGGAGTCAGAGAAGACACCTGGTCAGCAGGTAGAGATGGGCTGATGTGAGAGCAAGGCTATCATGACAGACTCCAGAGATAAGGCCTGGACCTCAGGCAGGGTTGTGGGGATGGGGGCACCCAGAGACAGCTTAGAGCAAGACACATACATCAAACCATGTAATGGGGACTCCTAGTTCCAAAGGTGAAACAGGGAGGGATAAAATAGGCACTGTGGTCCTCAGTCATAAAACACTGCGATCTTAGGAAGAGCTCCACGGTCAGGAAACTACAGAAACAACAATTTAACAGCAAGACAAGTCAGAGTGGTGGTGGTGGGGGGACAGAGGGTCCCTCAGTCATTGGACAGGGTATTCATATTTACCAAAGCATAGCCAGTGATGGACAGGGTACTCATATTTACCAAAGCATATCCAGTGATGGATGGGGTACTCATATTTACCAAATGCATATCCAGTGATGGACGGGGTACTCATATTTGCCAAAGCATACCCAGTGAAAGTGTCCCCTTATCTGGACGACAACCACTTGCATTAGGTCATAACTCCTTTTTAATAGATGAGGAACTTGGGGTTGAGAAAGATTAAGAATTAGATAGGTTCAGTGATAAATGCTTATAGTCTTAGCACTCAGGATTTTGAGACAGGAGGGTCACAGTTTTAAGCACAGCCTGGGCTAACATACTGAGATCTTGCGGAGGGAGGGGTGTGTGTGGTTATGGAGATAGCTCAGTTGAGAGGGGCTAAGAAGATAGCTCAGTTAGTAAAGTACAAGGAGAAGGACCTTAGTTTGATCCCCAAAACTCATGTTTTAAAAAGCTAGGCATAATGGGCATCTGTGAATATGTCTGTAATAGTGTTGGGAAGGTGGAGACAAGCAGATCCCTGGGATTCAATAGCCAGCCAATCCAGCTTACCTGACTCTCAGGATAGTGAGAAACAAAAAACAAGTAAGAAAAGTAGACAACACCTGAGGAACTACCCCTGAGGTTGTCCTGGGCTTCCACATACAAGCATATTTGCATGTACACATAAACCCACATATACACAAACACACATGTGCAGACACACATATACACTCACACAAACAAAACATTAAGTAATCTGCCCACAGTGCACTAGAACCAGAGTTTTAATGCTCTTCTCTTTGCCTGTTGCAGAACCATGGGACTTTGCTGGTCTGGATAGGAAGGGGAAAGGAGGTGTCACAGACACTGCTAAAGATTCTCTGCCTAGACAGCGGGGCAGATGGGGTCACTACCCCCAGGCAACGAGGGATGGAAGGCTTGGGAGAAGAGCTTGAGTCCCATTTGGAGTTGCTGATTTATTTGTTTTTGGTGGGTTGGTCAGAAGGTTGCAGGGTATGCAGTCCTGAGGTTTCTAGGTGGTACTATATCTGCAGGCTTCATTTGGCAAGATGACAACTTACTGCACTGAATGAGACTGTCTTGAGAGAGTATATAGAAAGAAGAGTATATAGTGGAGTCTTGAGAAACACCTCCATGAGAGAGCT